TATATATATATATATATATATATATATTTTTTTTTAATATTATTTTTAAAACTCTTATCTCTCTAACAAATTTGTGATCTAAGATATATATATATATATATATATATATATATATATATATATGTATATATCTTAGAAAATATTATATACTTCATACTAGACTTGCATTGGCTTTACGTATTGAAGGCTTTTTTCTATATGATTAATTTTAACTTCTATCTGTAGTCAATAAGATTATTGTGCACTTATCAAAATACCTAATAATACATACATATTTATATTCAATATACATATATACTAAATATTTACTATCTATATACATATATACTTTATAGTATATATTCACTTCAAATAGAATTCAATGATGTTTTTTTTTTCTATTCTATGTACCATAAAAAGGTTTCCCTAAGTAGAGAACTTATATTATGCACATATTTATACACATATATAATATACACATAATACATATATAATGTATCTGTACTGTATCAATGTATGTACATATTCTTAACTGAGTATTGTGGTCTTCATAACCGACCCCAACCACAAACAAAAAAACAACTTCAGATAAGATAAGGAAAACACTGAAATTTTAGATACTAATACATACTACGACTATATATACATATATACTATATGTTTGAATATTTGTACACTCACCAGCAGCAAAAATTTGTACTTCATGCTGTAGAAGTATGTACGTATGTAGCTGTATTTCTTGAAATTCGATTAACAATTTGCTCGTTTGTTGTTTTCTATTGATTAAATTACAATTAAAAGCACTTTTGGCTATTAATTACACTGTTGCCTTTGTTTTCTTTTATATATGTGTTCGTTCTGTTGAATTTGATTGCGCTGCGAAATAAACAGCTACCACGAGCACTGCTGGAAGTAGAATTGAAACTAAGGTAAACGATTCAAACCGCAGAACGCGCATCGAGGCATTATTTGTTTTGATTAGATATCAGCTGGGTGAGAGAGCAACAAAGACTTGCCGTTACACGCGCTCTCGCTCGCACAGGCGATCTCCCGCTCGCTCGCTCTCGCTATCCCAACTTTCGCTCTCGGCTAAGCCGCTGTTGGCGGCTGCATGCGCAAGTGTTTCGTACAGGGTGTCTGGGGAATGTTTTTGGTTCTGCTGCAAGGCCGTCTCGTAAGTTGTATGTTGATGTACCCAATGCCAGACGGCGACTGTCTGAAACAATAGACTGCGACGTGCTATTGTTATTGTTTTTCAATTTGTGCCACAGCGCGTCAATGATTTCGGCGGATAAGATAACGAAATTGTGTCGCATTCAGCAGCAAGAGCAACACACAGTTGACTCAGCTTGCTGACTCTCCGCTCGATTCATATACACATACATATGCATACATTCATAGAAAGAGAAGAATTCCAGTCAGAGGAAACATATTAAAGAAATGCCGACTCCAATTAGACTCGTAGAGGCCAATTGCAATGGCAACGAGCGTGTGTGTCACTACGTTCCATTGAACTTTGCGCCATCATCTAGATACACACACATACAGATGCATACATATGAATATGTATGTGCGTGTCTGTGTATGCATTGATACAGCGAGACAAATTGAGTCGTTCAAAGAACATGCGAATTGATGCTCAGCAACAACAACCAAGTGTCGGCAGCTGGTGTACACTGTACAACAAAAACAACAACAAAATAAGAAAAGCAAATAAATGTTTGGGTCGCACGCTGTGTGGCAATTGGTTGCATAAACAAAACAGAACCCGAGCTGACTCATCGATATTTGTATTCGCAGTAAATTTTAATTTTCTTTTTATTTTCTTAAGACTTTTTTTTTTTTTTTTTCTTTTTTTGTTACACGCTTAGAAACCGCAGACAACAACGTCGCACGCGTCGCCTTTCCCACTTGCAACACGAAACCCGTTTACAATTTGTTGTTATTGCACTTTTGCAGCTGCCCGCCGTGGCTCATCCTCGTTCTGGCTCTTAAATCAAACGAACAGCAACAGAAACTGAAAGCGAATCTAAAGCAGCAGCCGCAGCCGCAGCGGCAGCGGCAGCCTCGGCTCGACGATCGTTACCTGCGCTGCCTGTTGCTCAAATTCAACTGAAACTGGAAATCGTTCAGGCAGCAACAAAAGCAGCAGCAGCAGCAGCAGCAAACATTCTCTGTCCATGCCTTAAGCTGGATATCGATGGCCTTTCCCACAAGCTGAACGCGACTGTCCCCTTGGCAGCCCTCGCCCCCGTTTGTGCTCCACGAGCCACCCCAAAAACCGGTCGCTGCCCGAATTTTAGACTGTGGCACATTGTTTATGCCACTGCCGAAATGCGCCACTGCGCGGCTGCGCATTTCAATGCTTCAATATTAATGTGCAGCAGCTGTGCCTGTGTGCCTTAAATAATGGCTCCAACTGCAGGAAAAGCTTCGTCGTGCCGAGCTCGTTAAACGTTGATTTGCGTGCATTTCCGGTGCGGCAACTTTAAAGGTCAATGACAGACATAAAGACGAGATTTGTAATTAAGAACAAACATTTATACGAGCTACATATATACACACGATGTTAACTACACCCCTTATCTCATATGCATATAGTAATCAATCGCCGTGGAGAATGCCGCAAAACCCAGGCCGCCAATGATGCCTGCCTTGATGCCCGCTCGCAGACCAATCAAGCCGCCGGTAATGCCGCCTGCATAGGTGCCGTTACGCCAATCGGTGACACCACGTTGCTGATGAATAGAAATGCAGATATAAGAGTGAGCAATTCACACGTCGCCTCACTTACGCTTTCGATGGTGCACTCAACCACAGAGAAGACGGCGCCAATTAACGCGAAATTCTTGGCATATGAATGCGTTGTGGCGCGCATCTCACGGAACACCTCACGCGCCGTCTGTTTCTTTTCATTGGCGAACGGATCGGCCATATTTGGATTTACGGAGGCGCTGAACAAGCCCAAAGCAGCGCCCAGTCCATAGCCTGGCAAGGAAAATCAATAAAGATGAGCAACTCCCATCATAAATGCTCTCCCAGTTTCAACTCACCCATTACACAGGCCATAGCACTTTTGAAGGCACAGCTCTCCACGGCTGTTTCGATGAGCTTCTCCTCGTTTGTTTTGATTTTGACCGGCCCATTGCCTTTGGGTATTACTATATTCTCGCGATATCTGTTCAGATTGCCCACAAAATGCATGGCCATTCTGTCAAGCTCCGCAGTGTCTAAGACTCTGGGCTTGGGCGCCTCAGCGGACTTGGGATCATCCTTGGGTACCACTGACATGACTGTGTTTTATTAAACAATCTATTTTTTATACAGTATTTGGATGAAACTATGTAAATTTAAGACGCGTGTGGAAATAGTTAAAATTGTTATCACATCGCAAGCAGCAGCTGTTGCGTCAGAGTTGTCAGATACCATTAAAATATTTCGATAACAGCCCTATCGATTGTCGACAAATTAACGATTCGTTAAGTTAGCTTTGAATTTAAAAATTGGGCATAACTACGTTTTCCCTCTTTTAATTTGTACATTTAATTTATATATTTTTGGTTTTTTTTTTAATGAACTGGCATATACCTAAATATTACATTTTATTGCTATCACAAGTTGATTATACACATACATATACCAAATGGAGAAAACATACAGAAATAATTGTCAGAAATGTGTCAAAAGCTTCGCCTTAATTAAAGGCATAAATTAGCAGCAAAATGACACAGAAGCCAATTACAGCCCCTAAGATAAGCGAATCTCGTCGCTTTTTGATATTGATGCGCTGTATCAAACTGCAATATACAATTAAAAATTGAGTTAGGTATTTCGCAAATACAATTTCCTTTGTTATATTACCTTGATATTAGGGGAAAACGATTGGAAATGTCGTTGAGGCGAGTCTGCAGTCGCTTGAATGCCTGTCGCTGTGCATGCAGGTTATCGCGCGTCTCGATGGCGATGTTAATCTGATCATTGACCATGTTGCTGGCGCTACTCAAGTGCCCGCTCTCCTTCATATACATCTCCCGACGACTCAGGCCGGAGATCGACGGACTACCGCTAGTGGCCAGCCCTGAGCCACGCAAGAGTTCCTCTCGCTCGATGCGCATCGTGTGATTGGCACAGATCTTGTTGAACTCCTGTCTATAGCCCTGGAGTATTTCCCTGTGCCGCTGCAGAGTGTGCATTGCAGCGCTTCCAGTTGCGGGCAGCTCCGACATCGATTCATTCAGTGTTGATAACTGAAGGCATTAATTGGATCACTTGGATATAATTTGTAAAGTGTTTGTATCTTACTTTGTCGAGCATTTGCTCTATTTCAGCAGACAGTGAATCGAATACATGTTCGCCGAGCAGAGGTGATGTGTCAGCAGCGCTGCTATTGCTGCTGCTTATGCTGCTGCCAGCTCCGATTTTGCTGAATGCCACAAGTTTGAGGTCAATTTCATTTTCCAGGGTGCGCGCCTGCTTGCGTAGCACTTGGTGATTGTTTCAAAAAGCAGTATAAGCACATAAGCAGGTGAACAGTTTGGCACACATATTTACCATCGTAGCTAGAGCCAACCATTTGCATTTGATTAAGATATTATATTTACTTGCATGCACAACAAATACAATGAAATTCAACTACAGATACTAGGGCTGCAATAACCTGCTCATTTGGTATTTTTCTTTATCATATTAATTAAAGATAATCTGTAAAATTTTTAAGGCAGTACTAAGAACTTGGTTAAATTGATATTCTATTTCCGCATCAAAATATAAATAATATATGTATTTCAAAACAAAGAGACAGTATTTTTTAAGTTTCTCTTATGACAATCGATAATTGCTAATCGATTATTGCAGACATCATATGTGAAATAATTGAACGCGTTTTTGTTGCCGGCAAACATCGAAAGTATAAAACCATAATTTAATCAAATAAAAAAGAATGGCGCAAGCCCAATCAAATAATGACACCCGAGTGCCAGATGAAGAGAGTGATCTGTTACAAATCAAGCCGCTGTAAGTAGCCAGTAACTTTCTTAAATGAAGATTGATGTTAATCTTTCCCTCTTCCAGTGGAGCTGGCCAAGAAGTGGGACGCTCCTGCATCATGCTGGAGTTCAAGGGCAAGAAAATAATGTTGGACTGTGGCATACACCCGGGACTGTCTGGCATGGATGCCCTGCCCTATGTGGATTTGATAGAAGCTGATGAAATTGACTTGTTATTTATATCACAGTGCGTTTAAAAGTTTCAAATTTTAATTGCCTATTCAATATATTTTAATTTGACTTCTAGTTTCCATCTGGATCACTGTGGGGCTCTGCCATGGTTCCTTATGAAGACAAGCTTTCGCGGTCGCTGCTTTATGACACATGCCACCAAAGCCATTTATCGCTGGATGCTCTCAGATTATATTAAGATCAGCAACATATCCACCGAGCAGATGCTTTACACTGAAGCTGATCTGGAGGCATCCATGGAGAAAATCGAGACAATCAATTTTCACGAGGAACGAGATGTGATGGGTGTCCGCTTCTGCGCCTACAACGCTGGCCATGTTCTGGGCGCTGCAATGTTTATGATTGAGATCGCTGGCATTAAAATCCTTTATACGGGCGACTTTTCGCGCCAGGAGGATCGCCATTTGATGGCCGCCGAGGTGCCGCCCAAAAAGCCAGATGTGCTGATCACAGAGTCAACCTATGGCACACACATACACGAGAAGCGCGAAGATCGCGAGAGTCGCTTCACATCGCTGGTGCAGAAAATCGTAATGCAGGGCGGACGCTGCCTCATTCCGGTCTTCGCCTTGGGCCGTGCTCAGGAGTTGTTGCTGATATTGGATGAGTTCTGGTCCCAGAATCCGGATCTGCACGAAATACCCATCTACTATGCGTCCTCGCTGGCCAAGAAGTGCATGGCCGTCTATCAGACCTACATCAATGCCATGAATGATCGCATTCGGCGTCAGATCGCTGTGAACAATCCATTTGTCTTTCGTCATATTTCCAATTTGAAGGGCATTGATCACTTTGACGATATTGGACCATGCGTCATCATGGCGTCGCCGGGTATGATGCAGTCGGGCCTGTCGCGGGAGCTCTTCGAGAGCTGGTGCACAGATCCCAAGAATGGCGTCATCATTGCCGGCTATTGTGTGGAGGGCACTTTGGCCAAGACCATCTTATCCGAGCCCGAGGAGATCACAACCCTGTCTGGTCAGAAGCTACCGCTCAACATGTCCGTCGACTACATATCCTTCTCGGCGCATACAGACTACCAGCAGACTAGCGAATTTATTCGCATGCTGAGACCTAACCATGTGGTGCTCGTCCACGGGGAACAGAATGAGATGTCGCGCTTGAAGCTGGCGCTGCAGCGTGAATATGAAGCAGATGCCAGCACGGACATCAAGTTCTATAATCCCCGCAATACTCACGCTGTAGATCTCTATTTCCGCGGCGAAAAGACAGCTAAGGTGATGGGTCATCTGGCAGCTAAGAAGCCCGAGGTGGGCAGCAAGCTCTCCGGCGTGCTCGTAAAGCGCGATTTCAAGTACCATCTGTTAGCTCCCTCGGATCTGGGCAGTAAGTAGAATTAAGAAGTTATTCACCTGGATAGCTTTTACTGAATCTCCGCCCCTTCTCTTTCAGAGTACACCGACATGAGCATGTCGGTGGTCACCCAGCGTCAGTCGATACCCTGGACCAGTTCTCTGGCCACGCTTCAACTGCTGCTCGATCGCATTGGCGCTGGCTGTGTGGAGATCATTGAGCCGGATCGCAAGTTGCGCGTCTTCAACTGCGTCGAACTGATCGTGGAGCAAAAGATTATTATCATGGAGTGGCATGCCACCCATGTGAATGATGTCTATGCGGATGCCGTGCTGGCCTGCCTAATGCAATCCGAGCTGGGTGGCACCAACATCAAGGGTGCCACCAAGCAGACCAAATCGGAGGAATCCCGCTTTCGCGAGTGCCTCATCGAGACGCTGCAGGACACCTTCGGCGACAGCTGTGTGCCCAAGCTATTCAAAGGCGACTTGCTGCCGGTTACAGTCAGCGGCAAGCACGCCGAGATCAATCTGGAAACATTGGTAAAAACTAATTCACAGAGGAGAATAATTATAATATTTACAAATGCTAAATCTCTTCAATTACAGACTGTGCAATGCGTTGAGGATGAGGTGCTGCGGCAAATGCTGAATACCACCGTGCAGAAGCTGCACCAGACCTTGGTCTCTGTTCATTGACACAATTCCAAACCCAATGTGAATCCTCTTGATTAATCTTTATTATTAGTTTTCCATTCATATGTTGTACAATAAAAGTCGCAAACTATTTATTTATCGTGCGGTTCGGGTTTTGGCTATTTGCTCCTTGAGCACCAGAATGCTGGCGCGTTGCTCAGGCGGGAGCTGCGCAATCTGATCGTCAGATAACTGCAACACCTGCATAATGAGTGCGGCCTTCTCTTGGTCCGAGGCATCCGACGGCAACACGCCATGGGCACCCAATCGACTTTGCAGCTGTAACGCCGCCGATTGCTGCTGCTGCGTCACTGTCTGCTGTACCTGTGGAGGCGGCTGCTGCTGCTGTTGCACCGGACCTGGCGGCATGGCACCACGTAGACGAGGATCCATTGGACGTTGGCGTGGATCGCTTGGGTATGGAATGGGTGCGGATGGCGGTCCTTGCTGTTGTTGCGGCTGCATTTGGGCCCGAGTGCGTGGATCCATAAGTGGCGGCGGTACAGGATTGGGCATGGGGCCTGGCACTTGACGCATGTCCTGGTCCATATTACGACCCATCATACGTGGATCCATGTTAACCGGCCCACCGGGCACCATGCGCAAATCGATGTCATTCGAATGCATATTATTGAAGTTCGGGCCGGACACTGGCATGGGTTGCATCGGTCCAGGACCACCAACACTCCCTGGCTGTACGGGCGGCTGCTGCGGCGCTGGTTGCTGCTGTGGCGCTGATCCCATGGGCATGGGACCCGAATTAGCGTGTGGGTTGCCACCCAGAACGGGAGGCATTTGGTTAGCCTTGAAGAGCATACCCAATGCCTGTTGCGGATCAACGATGCGCATCACCACCATGGCCTGAAGCAGAGCATAGGCCAGCTGCGGATTCAGCATAAGCATCTGGCGTGCTTCCGAGGGATTGCTTACAATGCACAACTTCATTTGCTTCATCAGCTCGTACATCTGTTCCGGCGGCAGGGAGGCAACTGTTTTGGTAATCAATTCAGGTGCATCGTCTGGGTCACAGGGTTCGCCATAGGGATTCTCTACTTGTGGTCCCTGCAACAGCTGCTGCATCTCCATGCGTGATTTCTCTGTACACGCATTGTCCACTCGCAAAGTGCGCCCACCAATTTCGTAGCCATTGAGATTGCGCATGGCACTCAGAGCAGTTTCCTGGTCCTTGTACTCGCAGAAGCCAAATCCTTTGGGTTTGCCACTCTCGCGATCAAACACAAGTCTGTAATGGAAATATTATTTATAAGTAATTCTGATTTACAGATCACTGAGGCTTACTTAAGCGAAAGTACCGGACCGACTTCACTGAAAATTTCCTTTAGCTTCTCCTCGGTAGCTTCGTAGGGTATGTTGCCTACGAACACTGACCGCATGGACTTGTCCATAATACTCTGTTCTTGTGCTTTATCGGCCATTTTAATATTGTTTATTTGACGTTTGATAAATAATATTATTAATTGCTATTAATTGTTCTGAGTGCGAATGCCACAGTCGGCTAAAAAAAATTCCCAATGCTGCAGCCACACAGAGTTGCTCAGCACAGTGTAGTGTTGGCAAACATTGAAACGCTAAAATCATAAGTTTTACAGCACTCTAACGCCTGGTGTTGTAATTTTTCATTTGTCGCAAGGTGAAATCGAAATGACGGCTATTTAATAGTGCAAAGTGAATTTAAATCACTAAAAATATCACCAAGTTGTGGCTAATAAAGGCGTGCATCCGTTTAGCATAAATGCCCGAAGGAAAATCTATACCAAGTGCATGAAAAACGTGATTGAAAATTTACTTTGTGTGTAGCACACACACGCACACACACATGAAGATAAACGCAGCAATGGCCTCGCACTCACAGCATATATGTATATAAAAGCTCAGTTGTATATTGAAGAAGGAGCGCACAAAGCAGAAGACGAGAAGAAAGATTTCTGTGTCATTGAACGAGGCGAAGAGGCGACGACCAGACCAAGACCAAGGAGCTCCCAAACCACAACGCAGCAATTATATACACATACAAAATACATACATACACATATAATAACAGCTGCAGGTGCCCCATCAAGGATACTACGCTCTGTTCCGTACCCCCGCATGTTTATTGGAGAAATCTTGCCCTTGCCTTCAACAGGCACACACACGCACAGACGACGATCGATATTGACGCCGCCTGTATATGTATAAAAAGTTTTTATTGAACACATATCCCATACAAATGCAATTACAATTCATTTACAATTAGTGCTCATAAAACATTGTTGTCAATGTGTGTGTGTGTGGACTTCTCTCCTTGAATGAATTCAAAAGAGAGCAGAGAAAATTAAAGAAACACAAAGCGGAAATACTCTGAAATTGTGTCTACCTTGTTGTGCATGTGTGTGT